CCATCTTGCCCTGCCAATGAAGTGCTCTGTTATTATCTATTTCACAGAGTTCAGGGATGTTAAGGCTGTACTTAGCTCAGCAAAATTTAATGTTTTGACCATACAACTTCTCTTTGATATGGACTTAATCAAATTGGCCAGTTGTTGGAAGCATCAATGCTGCTAAGTCTTCTTTACTTCATATGTTTTGACAATGTCCAATGGAAGCTTCCTTTTGGGAGGAGGTAATATTTCTACGAAATCTAGTGATGGAAAGCTCTTTAATATTTAAGGATACACATGTTCTTTTGAATTATTTACCTGTCTCTTGGAAGTGAATGCAAGACCAGCGTAAATGGATTTTCCACATCCCTTTGACAGCTGAAAGCCTACTTTTACCACAGTGGAAGGATAACATGCCAGCTGTGATAACACAATGGGTGGAGGATTTAATGAAACTTACAGTTTTTGAAAGCTGCCCTTGAGGTGTAATCCACAAATGGGTACATCTATGAATATTTGGGGTGCTTTTGCTGAAGTGAATGCATGATTATTTTCCATAACAGTAGTATGCTATGTTATATACTAATATGTAGGGCATAATATACAGAAGTAGTGCTGTGGATCCTTTAACTTGTATTTAAAAAATTATAGTGTTTTACTTTTATTCTTTCTCTTCCCCTCTCTAAAGGTGCGGTTTGGTTGTTTTTATACTGCACAATAAAATAAGTATTAAGAAAGCTGCTGTTGAAAGCACTCGAGGGAGAGATAAAATTCTCGCAGACTCTTGGGCAAACCCTCTCGGGCAAAGCTGTTCTTCAGATGAGAAAACCGTAGCACTGGATTGGGTCAGGGCCAAACTGCAGGCATAGCACAGGACTTGCAGAGGGCTTGTACCCACAGCGTATGCTCTTATTTTATGAGACACTGACTTGGGAGATTGAGGGCCTACTTGACAAGTGATCATCAAAATGGAAGCAAGGAGTGAGACTTCCCTCCCTCCCTCCCTCCCTCCTTCCTTCCTTCCCTTTCCCTCTGCAAACAACGCTGCTGCTTAAGGGTCTGCCAACTCCTCCGTGCAGCTGCCTGCATAGAACTCCATAGAACTACTCTTGACAAAGGTCTGAAAGTTTTGTAGGGTCTGGAGTGAGAGCTGTGATAGGGCAGCCACACGGAAGGCCTCTCTAGATATTTTACACACAGAGGCAAGCAACTGAACCCCGAGGGACCCCCTGCCAACCACTTCTATGAGGAACGGAAGTGTCTTTCTCAGGAAGAGCTCTCCAGGGCTGCATTCTGGCTCTGGGTGAGGCCAAAATACCCACATATTTCAATTTGAAGCACTTCCTTCAAGAAAGTAAGTCTTAGGAGAGGCATCTCATCATCTCAGAATGCAGCAGAACTACACTCAAGTCAGGGAAGCAGCACCTTTTCAGTGGTTGGGGGAACGGGGGTGAGTTGGGAGCATGGCAAGCTAAGGAACTCTGAATGGCCAGAATGGGACCCCAAGGGGGCTGGAGTTGACCCCTTGACCACAGCATGGTCTACATCACCCTTCCCCAGCCCAGCACCCTTCAGAGGGCTTGAACTACAGCATCCATCATCATTCCTAGCAGAGATGGGAGTTATAGTCCAGCCCTCTGTAAGGCTAGCCTATAGGCTCTCCTTTCAAATGACTTCCCAGATATTCCACATTTCATGGTGGGGTTCCAGTTAGGTGTACTTTGTGGACAAATCTTAATTTGGAACCCACGGCAGAAAAACCACTTGGGAATTATTCTGGGAGGAGAGAAGAAGCAGATGGTGGGAAGAAGGAAGAGCTCTTCCATGTCTAACCAGACCCTCTTGAAGTTACTTGTTCTGAAGAAGGGGCTAGCACAGACTAGTTTACCGAGATTTGCATGTTGATATGCCGTTAGGTGGTAAGAAGGAACTCTGAACCAGCAAAGATTGCCCCCCCCCACCCCCAGCAAAAAAAGGCCATAAATTCTAACCCAAACTTTGTCAGATTTACAACTGCATGGGCTCTGTGACTGTAAGAATGTTACATATTTGGGTGTGTAAGACTCTTTTTGGCATCTGGGTTTGCTGCATGGTCCGGTCTCCATCTTGGTGTCATCATGAGACGACCGGTTCAGGAGGAGTGCAATCCTAAGCATGTTCAGACAGAAAGAGGTCCTACAACTCTCAGCATGCCCCAACTAGGCATGCAGGATGGGGGAAGCTGGGAGTTATAGGCAGTGTTTTTTTTCTGTCTAAACATACTTGGGATTTGGCCCTAGCTTTTTCAGATTGTGTGTGTGTGTCTCTGTCAGTAAGGGTGGGCCCCCTGTCCAGGCCTGTGAGAGGGAAGTATAATTGTCAGGATGGGACATAAGCCGCTGATTATAGTGTTTTCAACTGAGATCTGTAGGTGACAAGAAGTGACTTTCCATCTCTACCTGTCAGTTCTTTGAGCTGGAGAAGTTAGAGACTCCAATTGGGCAGGTCCTCCTGGCTTACCACAGTGAATGAGCCATGATGAATAAGTGCATTGTGATTCAGTGAGAATAAGATTTTATGTATTTTATACACCTTGGTAGTTTATACTGTCCCTTTCTGTGGTGAGTGACTCATTCCGAATTTGCTAAACATGTTTCCGTGCCTTCATTGTCTTCACATAAAAAAAGGAAAAGAAAACCATGAAAACCTGCCAAAGGAAAATTAACCTGCAATCCTATGCACCGCTTCTTAGCAGGAAATCTCATTAATTCCAGTGGGTTTTACTTCTGAGTAAATTTGCACAGAATCCCACGCTCAGGTTTCACAATATTTCAATAAGAACAGGGGAGCTGTGGATGGTGAAAGACCCCAGACAGCAGGCTAGCTTGGGGTGGGCAAATTGCCCCACCTGCAAAATGACGGAGCCTGTAGCTTCCAATATGCCTCGCCATTGCCTCTGCCAGCCAGGGCTGATGGGAATTGTAGGGCAAAGCTTCTGGAAGGCCATCGATCCGCCCTCCCTGTTCTAGTGTGCTGAAGCTGCAGATAGGTGTGTAGGGGGGAGATGTACTGAGGAACAAGTGAGGTGCCGCAGAAGGCAGGTGCTTCAGCCTCCGCGGTTCGCCTTTGTACCAGTGGCGCGGAATGGGCTGAGCCCCACGCACCCACCCACCCTGCGTGCCTCCAAATGCAACCCATGTGAGCAAATGCTTCCCATTTCCTTCCGTAGACAAAGCAACACTCTGCCCTTGGCGGCGGGTAGTGTGGAGGACAAGGCCTTCCCTCCCCTGCACCCGCCCCTGGCCTGGGTAGCCAGGTCTGCCCCTCCCGGGATCTCCCGGGGTGTGCGTCCGTGCCAGTGCAAGCGCGGGCAAGACGTGCCGGCGGCACACGGGCCTGAGCTGCTCTGTCTCTTAGCAGTGCAGGCATAGTGGATACTGGTTGGGCTTGTGCCAGAGACTTGAGTCCAGGCTCCTGACCATCCACAAAGCTCATTTGGTGGCCATACCTGGGAAAGACAGGTGGCTTTTAGGCCTTATCTACATCTGGATAGATATATGGATATTCACGGTGCCTTTGTTGACGTATATGCATAACTATTTTAAAAATAACAATGATATGGTATTTTATAGAGTAATACTTAGGGATAAATAATATATATGTAACCAGTGCAACAGGTTTTTCTTTTCTTTTCTTAAATGCTATTCAAATATTGTCATTTTCTTTATTTCTTCTATTTTTCTTTGCTTTTTATAGTGCAGTCTGCTTGTGTTTGTACTGCACTTTTTTTTTTAATGGGAGGCCACGGGCTGGTCATTGTTTCTCACTGTTAGCCAAAACTGCCTCCCAGTGTTTGGGTTGTTGTTAATTGCTTTAAGGGTACCTTAAGAATAAAAAATACATTTAAAGTGTACTGAATTTTGGATTACAAAATTCTCATGACAGGTCTGTGTTCCCTATCCACATTTTGATGCCATAGGAATAGTCACTAAGGATCCCAATGAAAGGGCAAGGTATACAATTCTGAAATAAAGCATAAATAAATGAGCAGGTAGTCAGTGGATCAGGCTGCCTTGGAAATGGGTGGACTGTCCTTCATCAGGGATCTTGAAACAGGCTCAGTCACCAACTATTGGAGATGTTGTCATGCATGGATAGAGGGCTTTGAGATTCCTTTCCAGTTTGTAATTCCACAGTTATGCTGCCTGGCTGTGATGATAAAACGTGTGTGTGTGTGTGTGTGTGTGTGTTGAGGACCAAGTGCTCCCACTTTGAAAAGAGCAGGCTAAACATGCCTGATTGCCCATAAGGAGTTCTCATGTTCTATAGGCTTCCTCACCCTTGCCCGAATACCATTATTTTGCATGCTGACTTGAGAAAGTCTCTCTCCCTCCCCCTGCACCCCAGTTATGTGGCAGTGAGAGTTCATGTTGGATCTGCTTCTTTCATTCCAGGAAAAAAATGCTGAGCTATATGGTGCAATCGTGGGCGTGATGGCCCATCTATCTATACCTTCCCTTGAATTGTGTATGTCAGAGCGTTCCTTTTTGGAACCCTCTGAAAAGAACCATCTGCCATCAGGTTTAATAGGGAGGGAGTGATGGGGAGACGGCTTAGCTGGGGGATTATTCTCCCTGCAGGGCAAAAGAATCTCAGGGGAACTTGTCATGCCCTGTCGCACAAGCTCCTAGTGAAAGCGCTCCTTCGCTGACAGAAGGGTGATGCAGATAATCTGGGGTTGCCCAGAGTTCACCCTTATGTTGCGGGTTCTTCAGCTCTTCGGGGCGTGTTTCAGGGAAGGTCATTTTCTGGCACCAAGTAAGAGGGAGGGTGCCAAGCACACCTAAGCTCACGAATGCAATTAAAAAAAAAGAGTGCTTCGGTTTCCACTCCCCTGTCACCCAGCCAAGTCTCCGAATGGATAAAAAGGTAGACGCTCGCCTGGCTCTCAGAGGGGCTCAGCTTCCTGCACTACTAGGAACTCTTCTTTGGAGACAGCACCACTAGCACCAGGACAGCCTCCCCAGTACTCATTGGCCATGTCTCGCCAGTCCTGTGCCCGAAGCATTGGAGGAGGGAACAAGGGATTCAGCTCCAGCTCTGCCTGCTTTGGGGGTGCAAGCAGAGTCAGCTTCAACACTGTGTCCACATCCCGTGGATGTGCCGCCCGCAGTGGAGCTGCTAGTGGGGGCGGCGGCGGCTTCGCCAGCAGGAGCCTGTATAATCTAGGGGGCAACAAGAGAATCTCCATTGGTGGATTTGGTGGCAGTGGCTATGGTGGGGGCGGATACGGTGGGGCCTTCGGTGGTTATGGCCAAGGCGGTGGCGGCTTTGGAGTTGGCGGTGGCGGCTTTGGAGTTGGCGGTGGCTTTGGCGGAGGACTTGGTGGTGGCTTTGGGGGTGCAGGAGGCCCTGGGTTTGCAGTGTGTCCCCCTGGAGGCATCAAAGAGGTCACCATCAACCAGACCCTCCTGCAGCCCCTCAACCTGGAGATAGATCCAGAGATCCAAAAAGTGAGAACAGAAGAGAGGGAGCAGATCAAGACCCTGAACAACAAGTTTGCCTCCTTCATTGACAAGGTGAGATGCTTTCAAGAATGTGAATGTTTGGGGCGAGTTCAAGGGTTGTCTATTTTTTTCTTTCATTCTTGTTATGAGAATGTTTCAGAAAAAGTTCTGCTTAGATTGTTGCTTTTTTTACAATGCATGTCAAGGTTAGGAAGTGTGAAATAAATTTTAAAAGCTTTGAAATATAGTTTTAGATATGATGATTCCTAAATCTCAAATCAAGGGCAAATAGAGAAGAGGTCAAATGTGATTACCAAGTAGTACTCAAGCGGTTAATAAGAACAGAACTGAAATAAGAAACATTTGAAGGGCAGCTGTACTCAACAAAATGGATTCCAGTGTAACAGTTGTGGATTCCTGCAAGGAACTGTGGGAATTGTAATGGTGATCCCTCCTCTCAAACACAGAAGAGGTGCTTGGGAGAGACTTGACTGTTAAACCAGCTTATGTCTGTGCTATTGATAGGCACTTAGCTTGTATAGTACACTGATTTTTGAATACAAAACTGCTCTCAAGTGAGAGACAGGAGGAAAAAATGGGTGGATCCTTCTCCCCGCCCCCCCGCCCCGGACAGTCATGTGCCAGTGCACCAAAGCCAGGCACATTGGTCCTGCAATGATTGTTCCCTGATATACATATAGGGGAGGGTACAAACAGCTATGGCTCCCACTGGACTGTGGACCTGCATTAGATGCACATCGCATCCTGGGCTGCAGCATGGATGCTCCATAGAAGTGCATGGTCACTGGGGATACAGCAGGTTCTGAGCTACCTTTCCTGTGCCCATTGCATCTCTCAGCAAAAGGAAGGAATAAGAAGCAGAGGCTATAATGCGGAGTCTGTGGGCAATGCAGAGGGAGGGACAGAAGGAACAGCACCGGTTGGGTGAAGGGAGGAGCCCAAGTGTGGCTAGAAGAAGCCATGAGTGTAGTTCTCATAGCAGGAGGTGAGTCTGGCTTAATGGTTGCAAGCCGTCCTGGGACGTTTTGTAAAGGAGAGGGTATAAATATTGTTAATAATGAATGAATGAATGGCCATGCCAAGGGCTCCATGGAGAGGGCACTAACCAGACAGAAGCTCCTGATGCTCTAGTTGCTGTTATCTGAGATTTCAGGGGTGGGAAGAGTCTCCCACCTTGCATCCAGCTTTCTCAAAGATCCCCGAAGATAGTGGGACAGACACTGGCTGGGAGTGGCCTGGCTAGCTTAAGGAGGAGGAGCAAGTATTGTTTCTGAGGCAGAAGACGTTAAGGTCAGGAGGGAGACCAGATGTGGTATGACTCGAACTTGCCTTTATAGGGAAGTTGCAAGGTTGTGCACAAAGGGATCTGACTCCTGAGTTTCACAGCCCTGAGTTTAACTGGAAGAGTCAGTGGCCCTCGCCCCAGCACCAGTAACAGGATGGGTGCTCTGCGCCAAGGGCTCAGCTTGAGGAAGGAGATGCAGCTTGAGAAACCTCTGAACCCTGATGAGCCACTGCTAGTGGATGATGTTGCCCTTTGGCTCAGGAGCCCTGAAAGTAAATTTAGGGAGGGGCAAATCTGTCCAATTCAATTTTTCTCAGCTTTTCCCTTTTCCAATTTCCAACTCAATTCATCCGAAACTTTTAGAATTTTTAACAGGTGTACATGAAACTTTGTGTGCCTTTTGGTGCAATTTTGTATGCAAGTTTCTTTAATTCATACATTTTCCCATGTTATTTCCTAATATATCTTTGAACATTATTTCCACATGTGTGTGCTGTTTCCGCTAATAGATGCATCTTTGTACAGATGCTTTGATTGCAGAAATTTGGAGAAGTGTGAATTAGGAAGGAAAACTGAGTTCTCTTTCACATACTGGTTTGAAAGTGCAAAATTGGTTGTTACCTTTAAAATAGGAACTAAATTTGTATTTAAACTGGGAGACCTAATTTCTTCTCAAGTTAATATTTCCTCCCAAATATTTCACAGTTTAAAAAAAGACATTCGTTTTGTGGCTGTCACATCCATGTGGGAATCTCAAGCATCACTGCTAAAGCATCCTTCCCCAATAGTCTTTGTTCACTCAGAATGGTATTGATTCACTCTGCAATAGCCTGGAGCAAAGAGGGTGTCTGTCTGTTTTGTTAACTATGTGCCAGGAGGAGAAAAGCTGTCCTAGTATAATATACCTACAGCTCAACATGTATCTTGCCAGCTGTAGTCTTTGAAATGGCAGACTGTTCTCTACACAGTATCTTTGTATTGATGGATTTCTACCTACCCCTCTTCAGGCATTGAATGTCCAGATGGGGTTGAGCAAATGGTGGCCCTCTAGATGTTGTTGAGCTGCAACTATTGGGTGTGATCTCTGGGGCTGATGGGAATTAAAGTCCAACAAAACCTGGAAGGTTACACGCTTCCCCACCCATGATCTAGAGCAGGGGTCTCAAACTCGCGGCCTGCGGGCCAATTGCCGGGACAGGCAGGGCACGGGGAGGGGCCCTGCAGCCTTCAAAGCGCTGGCGGCGCCCGGGCCGGCCTCTGGGAGCCACGCGGGATGCGCGGCCCCCCCACCACCATGGTGGTGGAATACTTGATGAGGCCCAGCCTCACCCAGACTCTACTTCCAGTGGCCCCCAGGTAAGTTGAGTTTGAGACCCCTGATCTAGAGAAAAGGGAAGAAGGATAATTTCTGATGCAGGACAGCTCTTGAAATTCAAACTAACCACACATTTTAAAAGTATCTCCAAATTTACTCCAAACAACAAAACAGAAACAATGATTTATATGAGACAGAGGCTGGGGAGCATCCCTGGTCAATAAGGACCATTTGAACACAATGCTATAACTCATTGTGTCTGTCTATTCTTACCCTTCCCTTTTTCTCTTGGATTAGGTCCGTTTCCTAGAGCAACAGAATAAAGTCTTGGAGACCAAGTGGAAACTCTTGCAAGAACAGGGCCACGGGACTGGCTCCAGTCAAAAGAATCTTGATCAGCTCTATGAAGCTTATATCAATAACCTCAGGAGGCAGCTGGATGGTCTTCAAAATGAGAGGAGAGGCTTGGAATCAGAGCTTAAAAACTTCCAAGACCTTGTGGAAGATTACAAGAACAAGTAAGGGAACATAATACCAAAGGGATGGGTATTAATAAGTGCTCTTCTCTACTCACATCAATAGGGCCTTTGAATAGGAAAATCTCAGATGCTTTGTGAACAGTGGATAGACCGGGCTGGGCATTTCATCCAAGCCAAAACTCTGGCAATATCTGGGGCTTTGGAAGAGCAAAACTGCCCAAAGAACAAAAGCTTTCTGTCCTAGCCCCTGACAAATATCACACAATGCACTCCGCCATTTTGTTGAGAAAGAAGTGGCCAAGAATGGGAAGATGTCTTTGCACCTCTCTATTGGACTATTTCAGTTAGGGCTATTTCATGAGGGCTGTTTCAGTTATTCCAATATGGCCTACTCAGAAAGCACTTCCGTGTAAGAAATGATGTGCATCTCCTGTGTGAATCCACACAACTGACAGCTGTGCGTGTGTGCGGTTCATCAACTGTTTTTGTTCTAGCAAAAATGTTACTGTTTGGCAGTAGTCCTAACAACACATCCCGCCACAGAATGCTAATGAGCAGGTGGGAAAGGCATCACAGGGAAAACCGTAGTAATTTTCTTAGTAGAAATTATGTGTGTTTGTTATTTGTTGTCCCTGGTCTACCTGCATATCGCACTGGATGGCCTCTTTCACTGCAATATTTGAGATGTGTCACGACATCGTTCATCTTCTCTGACCTAATAAATACCATTTTTAGAGGTATACATTAAATTTAAAATTATAAGATACAATCATCCAGATATATTTGTGATAGCATAGGACTATGTTTGAATTCCAAGGACTCTTGACTTTGAAATACATTATTTTACACTGGATACTAAATTGTACACTATACATTGCTTACTCACCATGGACACTAATGTGCTAAAATGGAACTGTAGATCCTAGCAAAGATGCTGGATCTGGCAGAGCAGGAACAAATCTGGCCTTCTACCAGCCAAAGAGATTTGGCGAATAGAAGGCAAATGCTTGGTGAAATGCAAACCACAGAAAGAGACGTTGTTCGTTAAGAAATAAACACACTTGGAAACTATGTTGTCAGTCAGGGTGGTTTTAAACAAAACCTTTGTTTGGTCGATGTCAAGGGTTGTGGAATGCATGCTAAGCAAGTGAAAAGAATGGAAAGTATGAGGAAAAGCTTGTGACTCATGACCCAGGGCGCTGAAGAACCCACAAAATGAGCAGGGATTAGTTTCTCTCTTGCATGCCAAGCAAATTCAGAAGCGCTTAAAACATTAGGGCAATTTTGACAAAATCTGAGGCTGGCAGGTGCGGTGGGTGTGGGAGAGGGCTGGCTGGCCTTCCTCAGCCCCTTCCTCACCTGGATGGAAAAATATGGATGGCTCGTATGTCATCAGACTATATTAGGGAAAAATAAAAGGGTTTTGCATACGTGCCTTAGATGGTATGCTATTAATTTCTGCATCCGAAATCCATCTTCTTGAAGAATTTGGATGCTCAGATGTTGAAGGTTTAGATGAATGGAATATACATTGGAGATTATGAGTAGAAGGCAAAGTAAATGCAAGCATGGAGAGCAGATGTGCAGGTGGAAAAGCAAAAGCAATTAAGTCTAACCTCCTCCTCCTTCTTTGCACTGACCAGATATGAAGAAGAAATCAACAAGCGTACTTCAGCAGAGAATGATTTTGTGCTCTTGAAAAAGGCAAGTGCTTCAGTACTTACACATTTGGTGTACTGAAATGTAACCCAGTACTGAAATGTAACTTCAGTACTTACACATTTGGTGTAAAACTGAAATTTTATATCGTATTTTTATATTTTTAATTTAATGTTTATATTTTGGATGTTTATATTTTGGATTTAATATTATAATCATTTTATTTATTGCTGTAAGCCGCCCCGAGGCTTCGGCGAATGGGGCGGCATAAAAATGCTTTAATAAACAAATAAATAAATAAATAAATAAGTTTGCGACTAAGAATCTGGTGTCTAAATTTGCTTTTCTTTCAGGATGTGGATGCTGCTTACATGACCAAAGTAGAACTGCAAGCGAAACTGGACGCCTTGACAGATGAAATCAACTTCCTGACATGCTTGCATGAAGCTGTGAGTAGCCCTGCTATTTTCTGTGAATGCCTGGATGGTGCAAACCATTGAACCTGAACGGAGAGGGGAGTGGAAGAGTTCTCCCATGTATTATTCTCCTAATTTTGAGATGCTTCCAAAAATGGATGAAAGCAATGAACAGTATGAATGGTTAGGACTGGTTGCAATTTGTTTGAGAATTTTTTGACATGTTGAAGAAATGGCAAAGAATATATTGTGTGTGTGTTTTCGTGTGCATATTGCCCCAGTGAGGAATTTTTGGCATTTATCCCTGCAAATCATGAGATGGGACTCCTGTCCATTTATTTATTAGAGTTATAGCCCACCTTTTGTTCAAGATGCTCAAGGCAGGCACTTGGTTCCTCACCCTGCCTTTTTAATTCTTACAACAACCCTGGAAGGCAGGCTGGTCAGAGTGATGGTAACTGGCTCCAGTTTACCCAGTGAGTACCATAACTGAATTTGAAACTGGGACTCCCTCAGTCTTAGTCCCACATTCGAACCGCTACCCCACACTGGCCGTCCTTTGTAGAGGGGTGAAGACTGGTTGGGATGACCAGGGGCAGGTCACAGTTTAAGCCCCCAAATGAGTGACGTCCCCAAGTATATCCTATTTGCACTTTGGAAGAGGGAGCGAATACCCGTCCTCCAGCCCAGTAGTGTGTGGCCTCATTCTGTGTGCTCAGCACATGTGCAGGGGCTTTGTGCCACCTCCCAGCCCCTTTTTGTAAAGCAGTGGTCTGTCCACACACCACCCATCCTTGGGCTTGTGCATGAAAAGAGCTGGCGGAACTAATTTTTGTGCTCCGTTTTGGGCATGCCACCAAGCCTTTCTTGGCAGGCCAAAGTGGGCTCCCACAGCCACTGGGTCCCCCAGGAAAATGGAGGCACCTGCATCTACAGAGGGTGAGCAAGAGACAAGTCAAGACAGGTGCACAGAGTGAAGGGAGTAGGAGGGATGGCTCAGCCACGGCCTGCGTTTCTTTTGCAGGAGCTGAGCCAGATGCAGCAGACAGTTTCCGACACTTCCGTTGTCCTTCAAATGGACAACAACCGCAACCTGGACTTGGACAGCATCATTGCAGAGGTCAAAGCTCAGTATGAGGAGATTGCCAATAAGAGCCGAGCAGAGGCAGAGTCTTGGTACCAAGGAAAGGTGAGTCTTCAGGCATCTGTTCCCATCCTGCTTTTCCAAATATAAAGGGACCCTTTCTCAGAGGCACAATGTGAGCACAGAACCCACTGTCCAAACTCAGCTCTGTTGTGAGAGATGGCATTCATTACTGGGAAAACCGAACACATGCAAGGCCCTGGATTAATTGACGAGAGGGTGGGGATGGCTTCAGGCTTGTGTCTTCTGCCTCATTTGACTGGGAAAGCCTCCGCTCCGCTCATGTGTCCTAGATTCACAAAGCAAAAATGCTTGCTCAGAATCTCTTGCTGGCTGATGTATAGCCGTCCTGTATGAAGATGGCATGGTGTGTGAAAGGTATCTATTTTGCCTGGTTTTAGCAGGCTCTGTGGTTGAACATCACCTTATTTTGCATTATCCCAAAACACTGCAAAACAGCAAATTGTCTATTTGTTTTCTTTCTCTCATATGTGCTAGCTTAATCACAGAGTCAGTATCCCAGGCTCTGAGTAATCTGCCCATCAGTTAGGTAATTACACTTTCAGACAGCCCAATGACTGCAGCATTCAGGGCAAAGCAGCAGTGAATTAAAAACATGCCAAGCATGTAATGAAAGCCTTAGAGAAAAAAGAACACATGATTCAGCAACTAGCCCACAAGGAAGGAAAGCAAGGCAGCCCATCACAAAGCCAAAGTCAAACAGTGCAGGTACTGAAAACACTCACCTGGTTCTCAGAACACATGAGGGCATTGTGGGATCTTCAACTGGCAACCCCAAAACTAAAATGTAGGTGCTGGAGACCCTGGTAGGTGCGTTTGCTTCACAGCATAAGCAGTGCCACCTCATCCAGGATTCCTGAGAAACAAATAGAGCAAGCAGCAGCCCAGAAAGTCATGCGCTTGTGGGGGCTTGGCCTCCTGCCAATTTATTTTTAATTGCCATTAATTTTATTTCACTTGTAATGATAAAAATCATGGGTGTACCTAGGCAAAAGATCATTTTCTAGACTGAAAAGGATAAAGAATGATTAAAGGTTATACATTTATAAACCATCTTTTTATCAATGCTAAAATGTCAGCAACGATCTGGCTTTCATTGAGTAGATTAAGAAGGGAATGAGGTTTTGTTTCCCACGATCAGATGCTCTTAAGCTGGGGCCTGCCGAGGTCTCCTAGCCTAGGACCTCCAGTTGCTTTAATCCTGGACTGGCTACCCTGCCTGGCGGCAGCTCATACACAGGGTTTTCATAGAGGGCTCTTTCCCAGCCCTCCCTGGTGATGCTGCATATTGAACTTGTGGCCGTGTGTATGTGAAACATCTTGCAAGTTTTGGGTCAGAACAGTCCACCTGGAACTGCCACTTCTCTCCATTTTGTGGGGGAGACGATCTCCCCAGATAGCAGGATGGCTGGGAAAACAGCCATTACTCAGTCAGGGCTGGTTCTAAAAGCTTCTGTTGGGAGACTGTGACCCATTCCTTCTCTCTTCCTGCTCTCTTCCTTCTCTCTTCCTGCGTGCCAGTATGAAGAGCTGCAGGTGGTAGCTGGGAAACATGGTGACAATCTTCGTGACACCAAGACTGAGATCTCTGAGCTTAACCGGATGATTCAGAGGCTGCGATCTGAAATGGATAATGTAAAGAAGCAGGTAAGGCCAGAGAGGTCCGGCTGGAGGTGGTGGTGGGGATTCTCCTTGGAACCTTCTCCTTGGGACCTTCAGCTGCTCAGCCAGATCCTGGGCTGTGATTTTTGCTACAATGACATGATCAGAAGCACAGGTAACATATTCCAGGCAAGGCAGGCAGAACTCAGAGGCCCTCCCTTGCACATGCCTCAAGCTTCTCATGCAGCTTATTGCCTGCATCTGGGTGTCCTGACAGCAGCGGCAGCTGAGGCCTTCTCACTGCCAGTGGTCTAAGGAGCCTTCGCTTCTTTGGCCTCTGTCCTGTAAGCTTCCTGGCCCGTGTTGTTCTACTTCTGAAAAATTTTGTGGTGATATTACTGCCACTTCTAATTGCTATGATGCTTTAGAGTGTTCAAAGGATTCCACTTGCATGGCTATTAAAATCTGTCACTTTAATACTGGCATCCACTCTGCATCCACATGCAAAAATGGAATGGGTATTTTATTGTTATTGTTATTGGTTCAGACCAGAGGGAGCCAGTATGTGACTAAGGGCCTTGGGGCTAAATTCTGCCACCTGCCAAAATAATGGTGCTTGAACCAGTTTGTCTCAGTTTTGCATAACTGTCTTTTAAAACGATCATTTGGCATTGTTATCCGGTTTGCTAGTCATGAGGAGAAGCAAGCAGCTGTTGTTATTGGTTTAGGAGCCCTGAAGGTCTGCATTTTACCCTTGGCAATTAGGGGTGGATTAACCTTTCAGTTTCTCATTTTCTAAATCTTATCTTTGGTTCATCCTGAATATTGAACTTCTTTTTTAAAGTTACACAAAAAATCATCAGCATTTTTGTGAATATTTCTCCCAATGCCTACATGCTATTAATATTTTTGCCTGATATGCACAGTTTCTCCATACACATTCCCCAATACAATGCATTTTTATGCATTATTTTCCCTAACACACACATTTTTGCATGCTCTTTTTGACTGGAGGACTCTATTGCAGAATTTAGAGAGTGCGGATTTTGATGGAAAAACATGTTTTGATTTGTTCAATAGCCCAAAAGTGTGAGTTTATGCAAATTTGGCTGATAATGTGAAACGACCTTCATTTGACAAATTTATTCAGTTATTCTGTGGTTTTTGAAATCTTCAGATTTACACACATATACTTCCACGCATACTACTGCGGCCACAAGGACTAGAAAATTGATGTGAGGAGAGATGAGGCGAGATTCTCAAGATGTAAAATGCCCAATGTCATTTTCTGCAAATTTTCTCTCTGTCCTTGTAAAATAATAATATATTTAGTTCAGTGATTGTAACTGACCTTTTATTTCAGGCTACATGATTTCATCTAACATGAGATTAGATACAAGAGGAATTAGGGTGGGAGAGGGTTGGTGAATGTTATCTTCTTACTTCAAACTCCAGGACATACCAGGAATTCATACACAATCCCTATGAATTTGTTGCTGTTCTTGTTATAGACTTTTTCTCCATCATCAGTATTCATTGTTTTACGGCTGCCTCTTTTGTCTTTCAGTGTGAGAAACTGCAGGCTAACATTGCAGAAGCTGAGGAGCGTGGTGAGCTGGCACTCAAGGATGCCAGGGACAAACTGGCTGAGTTGGAGGATGCTCTGCAGAAGGCCAAGGAGGAGATGACCCGACTCTTGAGGGAGTACCAGGAACTGATGAATGTCAAGCTGGCCCTGGATATTGAAATTGCCACCTATAGAAAGCTGCTGGAAGGGGAGGAGAGCAGGTGGGTAGGAGATACGGGAACAAGGACCATGTTCATATCTTGTGCAAGAGGCAATGGGCGAAAATTGAGCTTGCTCCACTTCCTCCCAGGCCTGGAAAGTGCAGTGAAAGGTTGGGTCGAACCCAGCCACCGAGTGCAAAAAGGAGAAGTGGCGGGACTCACTAAGGCCCACTGTGCAGTGGAACAGAAGTATCAGGATGCATTGTGTGTATTCCTCACTGGGAGAAAAATGCACTATGAAGGCGAAATGTCCTCAGGGCTACGGGGAAGCTGAGCATCAAGATCAGGCTACAGAAGTGCAGTTTCTGATGGGAGTATTTCATGCCTCTCCTATGCAGGCACTGTAGCAGGAACATGAGAAAAATCACAAGGAAATGCATGTACTTTTCCCTTGGGTCACCCTACATTTAGGGCTGTGTGGGAAGGCATCCATTGTGTGGAGTACACGGGGCAAACCACTGTGACCTGAAGTATTATGTTTATTTGGGAAGCAATCCCTTGCCTGTTTCCCTGGGAACTCCAGGGGAGCTGCTTTTGGGTAGACATGCATGGGATGTGCTGCTAGATCCCGTGGCCCATGGCCCTGATCCTTGAAATTAGGGCCAGCTGAGCATGCCCAAAAGATAGTTCTCCAAAATCCACTCAGTGAACTTCATGGCCAAGCAAGGAGCTGAGCACAGCTCTTCTGCTTCCAACCTTACTTACGCTCTCTCCTGCACAACATGGACTCCTGCAGTGCCTGATAATGAAAGTGGCAGCACTTCAAGGCATTCGTTCGTTTTGATGGCATGTTGTTAGACTTTCCTCTATGACTGCTTGCCTGGATCTAGTCCCTTACCTAAATGTTTCCCTCTTTCTCTTTCTCTCTCAATCAGGATGTCCGGAGAGTGTCAGAGTGCTGTGAGCATCTGTGAGTAGCAACTCTAACTTTACCTTGTGTTTACCATTTATTTTCTGTGTTTCATTTCTGTCCTGCCTTTGCTTCAAGGAGCTCAGGTAGTGTACATGATCCCCCACTGACAGTGGTGTGGGGATTAGAAACTGGGTTGCTGTTTGTGGTTCTGGCAAGCAAGTGTGCAGGGGCTGCTAGGCCAGTGAACCACCCAACTCCTGGTCCTGATGAACTGTCCAGAAAAATGCAGCACTTCCCAGCAGTGTGTTGATGGGGTGTTCATCATGGCAGCCACCATTGCTGGGTGCTTGTAGCAGCTACACACAATGCTGTTGAATTTCACAGAACAAGAGCCGTAGAAGGAATGTGGCAGTGACTCCAAGGAGAGGCTTGGCTCTTGGCTGACATATTTCTGGGACAGAATGCCCTGGGTAGAGAAAGCATAGTGTCCTTCTCTGGGACACTCTTGGGGAAAACGATGGCTGACCCCTCTTGAAAAATGGAAGATAGGAACATTTGGACATTGATCATTGGGACATGGAACAACTGGAAAATGTCTAGAATTGTCCCAGCTGTAGAATTGGAACTCAAGGCATTTGTTGGCAATATTAGTTAATATTAATAACTGTGGAATAACCTTGGTTGTCTTCTCTTCCAGCTGTGGTTGGCTCTACCACTAGCACCTCTGCTGGAGGATATGGTGGTGGATTCGGTGGTGGATTCGGTGGTGGATACGGAGGAGGAGTAAGCTTTGGAGGAGGATCTGGTGGCCTTGGAGGAGGTTTCAGCTCTGGAAGTGGAAGAGGTGTCTGCAGCTTAGGTGGTGGTGGTGGTGGTGGAGTTTCCTCCATCGGAGGAGGAGGATATTGTTCCGGAGGAGGAGGATATGGTTCCGGGGGCACCATTGTGAAAAAGACCACCACATCCACGTCCATCAGGTCTTCCAGCAGGAAATAGAAAGCAAGCAAGCCAAAGACAACAGAACCATGGATGAAAGAAGCCCCCTTCTGATGATCTCTGCCAAGCCACGCTGAACCCAACCTTGGCACCCTTCAGAGAAATAGACTGTGTCCCTTACAGCCACTATCCCTGTTCTTCTGGAATTTTTTAATGTCTTGCATTCTTTGTCCTTAGCTCACTGTTGATACATTTCATGGCCCAGTTGTACATCAGGAAGTACCAGTCAAGGCAGCTGATAGGAAAGACACTAAGGCTGTGTTTACATGAACAGAACAGCATTAAGCGGTGCTACAGAGCCTATTTAGGACCATGTGTGCCTTACTTCTACATCTTTCACACACCTTTTCTCTGTAGTGTAGTTTTCCCATGTTGCCCTCCAGGGAGTGGGATGTTTGTCTTAGATATCCCAAAGTTCCCCTTGACTCTTCTTTCAAGTAAAGAGATGGTCCTTCCCTCCATGGTGGATTGAGGCAACCTGAGAAGCGCTGGAACATGTTTTGCTCAGATTGTCATGATGTTCCAGGAGTATAGATATTTGATTCTCGTGATTTTGGAAGAGTAGTCTTTGCTCTATTTTCTCCATATTTCCAGCCCCCTGACTGAGAACTGAAGAGGAAATGGTGCGACTGTAAACTACATCAAAGCTACTATTCATGTGAATGTGGCTGTAGAGCTCTGCATACTCATACAAATCATGAGAATCATGCTTGGTCCGCTTCTGTGATGACCTGCCTGTAGTTCTGCTGAGTGATCATGGGTTTTCAAAGGACTCTGTAAAACTATTGGAAGCTAAAAAGTTGGGACAAATGACCAAGCCACAGTTAAGTTCTCTTAAGTTCTGCTGCTTTCAGTGGGAGCATTTAAGTGTTTTTGTCAGTCCCGCCTATCAAAATGAAAGGGAGTTGTACTGATTCATTTTAATGCCCCACTTTGCTCTTTCTCTTTCTCTCCCCTGTTTTGTAATATTTCCTTTCTTGTTTTTTGTTTTGGTGGTGATTCTTTTTCTCTGGTGTGATCATCTGCATCTCATTAAACTCAACATGAAAAAAATAATTGGTGTCTTCTGGATTTTCCGCCAAACATTTTATGTAGTGGCCATTGTACTATATGGGCATAATGTCTCAGTCCCTTTCTATGGGGAATCCTGGAGGTGCCAGCAAAAATACCAGAGAATTTTCAGCATCCTTGCCAAACCCAAACTACATAACCTGGGTGGCATCACAGGCGGGGAGCCATGACAAGCTTGGAGAAAACCGACACATACTAAAGTAAATGGCCCTTCCAGGTTCTGAAACATTTTGAAAATAAAAAAAGTAACAGCTATCAGAATGGCATTATAATTTGTGGAAAGAAAGGTGTGCACAGGAGTTCTTTTGACCAAAGAGTGCTTGGACACAGTTTGTTAAACAAATTATTCACAAGTACATGTACACATAAAGGATCTGTGTAGGCAGTTGCAGGTTATAGAATGACATTTTCAAATTTGGTAGAATTTAAGAATTTGCCATTTTGAATTTCCAAACAGTTTCTCATTTTGTTTTTGAAACTGACTATTGGCTTTAAAGAAACAACTAGCTAAATATTTAGTCATTCACAATAATCCTAACTATCAACAGCTCAGCATCTTTACATTTTCTTCACCATCAGTTTCCTATTCTGAACAATGCCCGTAACTAGGAAATCCAAAACGCTTAAGGAAAGTAGCATTTTGAATTTCTCCATACAAATTTGTTTGAGAAAACTAACTGCAATGTAGCTGCCAGGGCATCTTTGCAGAAAGGCTTTCATTCCCTTGTCCCCAAAGATACAAGAAGTTGGCTGCCCTTACTCTACAGCATCTTTATGGTGGAATTGCACCCGTTTGACAGCAAGAAAGGCTGTAACTGGAGTGGGGTGGGAATACTGTGTTCCTTAGGCTCCTTCACCTTTGGCTGAGACGGCTAAATGGAGGGCTAGTTATTTTGAAATCTGACACTCACAAGTGCTTAATGACCCACAAATGTGCTCTCGGGTTCTCTCGAGTCTTTCCACATTCAACTGGCTTAGCAAATCAGGGTTTTGGTTCTTTGAAGTCAGGGCCCCAAACTACAGAGAGAATACTTTTCTCTTGGGTAATCCCAAGTGTGCAAGAAAAAAAAACTGGACAATGACCTGATGAATGGATTTTTCATTTGGGAGAATCATGATATGAAAGATCAGTAAATGAAAACAGAGCGAACACTTTCTTGCCAGAGAGAGCGAGAGAGAGCAAGCGCAAGCACAATAGCTAAAGACCCATAAGGAACAAGGAACACATACAGACATGCATCCTTGGCATGCCAGTTGAGACTTTTTAGTATGGCTCATCCATATTCCTCTTTCATAGGAGTAAGGCTTGCAAGTGAAACAAATAACAAAACAAGAGTGTGTTTAGAAACCACAAAGACTGAACTGTGTTACCAGAGAGTGAGAGGGAATCTGTCATCCCATATTCAGTGGCTTGCAGAAGATGAGGGAGATGCCTACCAAAGGCAAACCAATCCGTTAAAAATGGAACCTTCATGTTTGGGAACAGTGTATCTCTGACACCAAACCAAACCAAACCAAACCCAGAGCTCTGGATTGTGATCTGCTAAGAGATCTCTTTTCTGTCTAAGTTGTAGTGGTACAGTTCCTTTCTCCAGTCCCTGCTCCTTCTTGGCCACCAAGGCTCTTGACGTGCCTCTGCCGTCCAGAACAGCACATGCTGGGGATGAATTGGGCAGCAGAGGATGGCTGTCTCCCTCAGTCCAGTACGTTGTAGTGGGTAGAGTGCTTGAGGGACCCTTGGGAGATCCAGGTCCCAGTCCCCACTTGACCATGAAGCTCAGTGGGTGTCTTGGGGACAATCATGGACTCTCAGCCTGACCTACCTCACAGGATTGTTAAGAAGATCAAATGAAGAGGAGCAGAAGGACTTTCTGGCCTCCTCAGAGGGGAACCAGCTTTGTCTCAGGAGTCTGATTTAGCTCGGCCTACATGCTTCAGTTGAATTGAATGTCTGGTTTATTTCCACGCATGGAGCTCCACTGAGAGAAAAATATCAGGGGCGGGGGGCGGGGGAGATGCCATTTTAGGGCCAGAAGCACAGACAGGGTTTATTTATTTATTTATTCATTAAAACATTTCTATGCCGCCCCTTGCCGAAGCCTCGGGGCGGCTCACAGCACAAAATAAAATACAATAAAATACAAAAATAACAATATAAAATTAACAATATAAATAAAGAACAATATAAAAGAAGTCGCCCTGGCCAGAGGTTGAGGTGCTGGGCTCCTTCCTGCCCTCTGGCCCTCGCTTGGTCTTGGACTGCCCTGCCCTGGCAGGCTTGTTGGCAGCTATTCAGACCTGAGGCAGTCCTGTCATGCCAAGCCTGCTTGGCTAATTTCGGAAATGGTCTTCAGAGAGGAGAGCTGTACCAGTCGTGAATGCTTTGACTCCTGCTGCTGAGGTGAATTTCAGGTAGACAAGGCCTGTGATAAATTACTACATCAAAGTATTAATTAACCAAAGAATGCTGCTAGCATTCCACTCCTTTCTTGGTGCTCATCTGATTATCATTATTTTTTTGCAATTATTATTATTCTAATCTGTCTGGCTATCAGACAGCAACTCTCTGGGGCAAGGAGTCTATTCTCCTTGTCTGCTTGGATTTAATTCATTGTGAAGGAGGAGTTTTCTTCTAAATGAATAACTGTAAACAGAATAGCTGAGGTTCCACAGGCAGCACAAAGTCTACTCCCATTTCTTCTCTCTGGGTTAAAGCTGCAGCATGAGGTTATGCCTGGTTTGACCTCCCAGGAGTTGTCTTAATCTGGAAATAGGAAGAAGGCTGAAAAAATATTAGAAGCTCCACCTTTGCCCCTGACTTTCCTTCTGAGTGAATGTATTACTTTATTCATAGCCTGACATCCTTGTTGTTTTCTAGACACCAACTGCTTTGCTCTGAGAAAGACAAAAAAGAAGAAAGCTCCAATGTAAACTCCAGAGTGCGTTTTTGGACAATTAGAGTGTCATACAAATCAAAATGTGTTTTTGGACAATTAGCGTGATGCTCAAATCTTCTTTTTCCCTCTGTTTCTTTCCTCAATGGCAGTCATAGCTGTAGCTTCCCAAATGGCAAACAGAAACATATTTCTTACAGAATGATTTGTCAGAATAAATTATCAACCTCACTCCCCCCACCCCCACAAAAAAAAATCAGAAACAAAAACCAAAAACCATTTGGACAGGTGACGGAAAATAAACTAGTACTACAGTTCAGAGGGGACTATTTTTTGCTGCCCTGCTGTGGTTGGCACAATAAATATTGACTGCATTTTTCACCTCTAAACTCTGGTTCTGTCGGGCCTGGGGGCTTATTTTTCATTTTTAAATGAACATGGAAATTGGGAGCCAGTTAATGGTCCAAATGGGCCAGTGTCAGAAGACTCCAAGTGAGAGATGGAATAAGGGTGTGGAGGAGGAGGAGGTGGAGGAGGTGGTCTTTTCTGCCAGCCAGAGGGCTGGCCACCTGCTAGTGGTTATGCCAGCAGTGGCTGGTCATAACCACTAGCTGAAATTTTGCGACTGTGACTGTGTTCAGTATATGACCACTTGATGAACCATGTAAGTGTGGTTTACATGACTGCAGATACATTTGTATTGCAAATGAGTATTGAATGTGCAGTGATTTCTGGTCCAGCAAGATGCACTTGGAAGAATTTGACCCAAGGATCCCCAGAGGTGGCCATCTCAGTGATGAGGGGTAGATGGAAAAATGACAGCAGGAGCTGGTTAGGATATCAGTGTCGAATGGGTTACTGAGGTGTATATGCTGTTCCCCTTCTGCAAACCTTCTCTAGCTCTCAGGCATCCACTGAGCCTCCTGTTGTGCAGCGCTGCTGTTCACTCTGGTTCAGTCCATGATAAGACTGCACAAATTTAAGGGAAGGCCGAGCTGGTATGTATGAATTGGGTGCATGAACTGAGTTAGTGTGACCCGAGCCAGCTCTGCCCACCTCGGGGCCCTGTGCAGTGACTGCACAGGCTGGAGGGCCAGGAGGGGGCCCATATTTGTTACCAGGACGCCGCTCTTGAGAGGCTGCACCTGGTGTTGGTCCTCCAAGACAGATGGAGATGCTGCTGGTGTGCTGCCCAGCACTCCCTGACTGAGCTGGCAGGGATGGCTCCAGTGTGGAGCTTGGAGAGCCTGGGATGATGCCCTGGGTGCTTCAGATTCCATGATGAGGCTGCCTCTTCATGGCCCCCGTGACATCCAGGGGCTGTCCATGGATCAGCCCAACCCGTGAAATGATATGTACTCTTGATTTGGTCTTTGCTCCAGTTTAGGAGGTGAGTAGTCTGAAAACTAGGGTGGTGGTAATGTTCAAATAACCCCATGATCATGGTCAGACCATTTCCTGCAGTAACTGCAACTTGCAGTATTTCTTTCCTCCTGCAGGGGTGGAGGGGTATTGGATGGTCCACTCCAGGAGACCGAGGGAATCCAATGGATTTCTGAATGTTCTTGGGGATTTCCCAGTGGACAGACCTGGTGATCCAGTTGAAGCCCTGGTCACACTGTGGAACAGTGAGCGATAGACTCAGCTGTGCCTCAGTGCTCTCTCTGATTGCTCTCCATCTGATGTGTGAAGTCTCTGTCTCTCTGCTCTTTGGTATACTGGGGAGCAGCAGTATGCCAGTTAAACAGGCTGTATATCTGCTGGAGTGCAAATAGCACAAGATTTGAAGATGACGCCACTTGCTCTAGAATTGTGCCCATGGTGTGATGGAGTGGGCAGCAAAGAAGTGACGCAATCACATCCTCATTTAGCTCTCCAGTGGAGCTCTCCTTGGTGGGCTGGGGGCGGTAAGACTGTCCCCTGAAAATGATCCCTTCAGAGACTTTCTGTGACCTTTTTGCATTGCACTTGGAGAACAAATTTGCTGGTCTCCACGGTTAACTTGATGCCATCATTAAGCAGAGCTCCAGCTGAGTGGTTTGATGCTATCATCTACCCAGGTCCAGTTATTATGG